GGGCAGGGTGAGGCAGGGCAGGGCAGGGCAGGGCAGGGCAGGGCAGGGCAGGGCAGGGCAGGGTGAGGTAGGGCAGGGCTCTAAGAAGGATAAAGGTGTGGGAGAAAGGGAAAGGGTGGGCTGAGAGGCCAGTGGAGCAGCACCCACCCGAATGCTATCCTAAAGCTTAACAATATTTGGAAACGGGACATCTGGAATTTCCTAGGGCTTGTGTGGCAGATACATGGGGCAGAAGGGCTGCAGCTATGGGAACAGGGCAGCTTATAGCGGTGTGGCTGCTACCTGGTGGGTGCTAGTCCAGGTAGGGGCTGGGGATGTAGGAAGTTGGTCACCACTTACTTTTTTCCCCTAAGTTCATATAGTCTTTATATGGCCATGTTTTCTTTCTTTTTCATTTCTTCTGTCTCCATCTGTTGACTTTTTATTACATTATGATCTCAGCTCCCACCTTTGTTTCACAGATCTGTGTTCTTGAATTTCATTGACTGCAAAGCAGACAGATGCGCCCTAAAATTTGTTTGTTTCCTTTAGTGAATTTCATTTTCAGAAGTGAGTCTTTTCTCTGCATTTTGAATGCGGTATTCTCTGCTTCTTTATTGCTGAATCTTTTCACAGACGTTTTTGTTTCTTTCCGTTTCGTTGTCCTTGAATAAAGAGAGGTGAATGTTGGCTGGGTGTTGTCCAAGGTTCCCTTCACTGTCTGCCAGAGTGTCGATAGAATCTTCTGCTCATCTCATAAGCTAGAAGGATAGGAGTAGACCTGCGTTTTTGGTACTATCTATACATCCAAAGGTACTTCTCCGTATCATTTCTTCTCTGGGTTTGTTGAAGCCACTGGTGAAGTTTCTGTTGGGTCAGACCTACACGTTGGATACATAGATGTGGCCGTGCCCAGTGAGTGGCACTATGGTGACCACATCAGGGGGGAGCCCCTCATGGCTGATTTTCCGCTTATTGTGACACCAGGTGGGGGACTTTCTGGGGAGGTGGTTTTCAGTGCTGCTGATCTGAAACGCTGAGGGGTCCGTGGTGCTGTGTTCCCAGGGAGCACCCCTCTGCTCTGGCCTGGGGTCCTGGTGGCCAGATCACAAGAGACAGGAGGCTCTTCATGACTTGATGTCCCCAGTATTGTGCTTTCTCAGGAGTGGGAATTGTGAGCAAGAGTGGATCTTAAGTGATAGTCCCTATAATGTTCTTAATCCTTTTCATTGTACTTTGATCGTAATCAGTTCTTAAGTAGCACCCTTTGGCCTATCGAATGGAGTCGAGAGTCAGGATTTGAAGCAGCTCTTTCAGGAATGAGTGACGCTGGTACCGTGGTGCCTACCCCCTCATTCATGTGTGTGTGTGTCCCTGAGTGCCTCTGGGCATGCCCCGGTGCTCAGCATGTGGTGGGTGTAGCCTGAGGTCATGCCCTGGCCCGGAACCGGCTCCACGGGCCCTTGTTCCACAGGGTGTCCTTTAGGCTGCACACTCCGTGCAGGTGGTAGCAATCTACCTTCGAAAGCACTTTTCTGAAGTACAAGTGGAGGGAGGATTTGAAGGAGATGCTTTGGTTCCTGCTGTCTCAAATATGTGGCATTTACAAACAGTGAGTATTTTTTATGGTTTCAACTCATAATAAAAAAAAGTGACATAGGAGGCATTTATACTAGGAAGAGGAACTTGTCCTAGGAAAAAAGTGTTAGTCATTTTCATGCTAACTTGTCCTTGTATAATTGGCATTATATTTCATCTGCCACTTCTTTTTAATCTTTTCAAACTGCTCGTGTATTTTGTAAAGGTTGGCTTGGTTAAATCTATGTTATGAATCCACAATCCATTTAATTGGTGACCCATGCGTCTGCCCTCTTTGAAAGATCACTGTCATAGTGCATGCCTTAAAGTTTTTGTTTGCTGAAAAGCATTTTAATGATGCAAGTTTGAATGCGTCCACATCTGAGAATATACTGGTTGGCTTCACACATATGTGGCAAGTCCATGAACTACAGATCTAGAAGTCTTGAATTATACCCTATTATTTTCAAAACTTGCTGTTGTGAAATTGCTTTCTGATATTTGGCAAGGTAGGAGTCTGGGGCCAGCTTGAATTTTTGTTACTTTTAAATAATATATTTTATTTTCTCAAAGAGTTTCAAGTTCTCTTTTCTATTCTTTGAAATAAAAAATTACAACAGCATGCATTAGATGCTTTCGTTTATTTTTTCCCCCTGGGTTTGTTTGATCCCGTCTCATCTGTTTATAAAGGTTTTTCTGCAGTCTAGGAAAACTGACTTGATTAAAGTTGCTTGCTTGCTTATTTCTTACGGAAACCTGACCACCAGCGGATAGCACCATCTGGTCCTTACTTCTATTAGTCCTTCATTTTCCTTCATCATTTGTTCTGTTTTGATCTTTTCTCTTGGCTTTGGAGAATTGTGATGGGTCCTGTTAGAAATCCATGCAATTCCCAATTCCCGGTAGGAACTTGAAGCCCCAAAGGAAGGGAGGAATAAAGAAAGTTTAAATTGACCCTCATTTCACTTTGCCGGGTGACGGTCCCCACAGCCCGGGGGAGGGGTGTGTCAGGGCCCTGGAGGTGAGAGAGAGAGTTGGAGGCAGACGGGAGGCCAGGAATGTGTTTGGCTAAAGAGCTTCCATTCCTTTTCCGGAACCACTGTCAGGGCTCCCCCCAGGCTCCTTCTTTGGCAGGCTGCTGTCTGGGCTGAGGGACTGCAGCTCTTCCGTGCCAACCCCCTGCCCTGGGCCTCTGAAACCCAGCACCTCCTAATGCTGCGGATGGAAGCCGCCGGGCTGGCCTCACCCCGGGCAGAGGCCTCTGCTGACGTGCTCAGCGTAGTGTCCTTTGCATGTGAGATTCACCAGTCAGGAGGTGACTCAGAGTAAATTTTCTCTGTAGTTTAATAATTGAAATTCCTAGGAATTTCTTTTGTATGGCTGACCCTCTTGCCCACTTTTGTTGTTGTTAATCCTCACCCAGGATATTTTTCCACTGATTTACTTACTTTTTTGGATAGAGTGGAAGGGAGAGAGAGAGAGAGAGAAAAAGCAAACATCGATGTGAGGGAGACACATTGATTGGCTGCCTCCCCTGACCAGGGCTGGGGATTGAACCCACAACCTAGATTCGTGCCCTTGACTGGGAATTAAATCTAAGACCCTTCAGTGCGAGGGCTGACACTCTAACTGCTGAGCCAAACTGGCCAGGGCTTGCCTACTTCTGAAGGTCGATCCAGAGTTTTTCCTTCTTTTTTGTTGCTGGTCATTTTCATGTGGATCTAGAGGGCAGCAGTTCATGTCTTGCCAAGAAGTCAAACTGTTCGCTCTTGTGAATGCAAGTCTGAGGGTATTTTGAAGTCAGGAAGGTGGGCTGAGCCTTGGGAAATGGAGACTTGATAATAATCTTAAGTATCCTGCTAGAATGTTTCTCATCTGGTTACCTGTGATGATCAAGGTCGCCCAGTAACAGCGACAACAATGATAACAATTGCCTATATAAAAAACAACTGGGAAATGAGGAGATGTTGGTCAAAGAGCACAAAGTTCCAGTTACAAGAAGAATCAGTTCTGGGATGCACTGGTTGGCTCCTAGTTAGCAAGCATTAGTTTTGAGTATTGTATACGTGAATGTTCCTAAGAGAGTAAATCTTGAATATTCTTACCACACACACAAATTGTAACTATGTGAGGTGAGGAATGTGTTAACTAACAACAGGTAGTTATCATTTTCCAATATATACCTGTATTAAATCATCACATTGTGCACCTTGAACTTACTCAATGTGATATGTCAATTGTGTCACATAAAGGTGGGGAAAAAACACACAGTGGGTCACATGGTTGATGCGACTCTATCAATATCAATTTGATTTAATATTTATACCCACCGAGGAAGTTTGGTGGGTGGATCTCTGTTTTAAAGCTGACTCTCATAGAAATGGAATAACTTGCCCGGTACTGCTTGGCCAGTGCGTTGTGAAGTGCTCTCAAAGTTTCTGCTCTTTCTTTTGCTGTCTGTCTATCTGAAATGTTCTCCAGTCTCCAGATCTCTGTGGTATTTAGCGTTCCCAGTTACTGGGCCTTGATCAACTGTTGGCATTTTATGTCTCTGCACACTAAGTCCTTCTGAGGAGACTGCTTTATCATTTCTCCTATACTCTCGGGAAGTCTGGACTAGCGGTGGGGAAGGTCTCATCCTCAGCACCTTGGTTTATCATCCATCCACATGTGTTTTTTTAAGTAGGGTATTTATCTGCTCCTAGAATGGGTGAGGGGCGTCCAGCCCATGGGCCATGTAAGGTGGGCAAAATCAATACCAGCTAACATCACATACCTCCCCAAATTAGCCTGACCTAATAGAGCAGGCTAATTTTGGAATTGATAATCTTGTATGATAATTTTGATGTCATAAATATCCAAATGGCCCTTGGCAGAAAAAAGGTCCCCCACCCCGTCCTAGAGGAATGTTCCTGTCCAGTGAAACAGCTTGCCTTCATGTCTGCCTTGTAGCCCTCCGAGCTTGTCCTGGCGATTTAGAGCTGCTCACCTGTCTCGGGACACCCGTGGTCCTGGGGGCTGCTGTTCCGCACGGCCCCCGTGAACGAAGTACTGTCAGCACAGCAGAATCTCAGCCTGCTGCTGCTGCTGCTGGTCATGCTTTACCACATCCAAGCAGGACAACAAAAATGAAAACCGGAGAAGCAGCAACACCATTGATAATTTAGGGAACTCTTGACAGATAAAGGCAGCTGAAAAGTGTTGGGGTGGTCAGTGCCCGGGGGATGAGAACATTTTTGTTCTTGCTTCACAAAAATGTGTGCATTTATTTTATACCTTGCTCCTTGAGAAATACGGGTCAGCTCCATCATTAGATTCCTATTTCTCTTTTCGATATATTGGAATAAATAAAAACATTTAATGGCTGTAGAATGTGTCACTGTAATGGTAGGAGTAACCTTTGGTTCCCTTATTCTAATTGAATTATGTCCTTTCCGCCCCAGGTTACGATCTTTGGTCAAACAGTTAGAGAGAGGGGAGGCTTCCGTGGGCGATCTCAAGAAGAACTTGGAATATGCAGCCACCGTGCTCGAGTCTGTATACATCGATGAAACCAGGTAAGCTGGAAATGACAGGAAGCTGGCGCCATGATGGTTGGTGAATGTCCTGTTCTGTGGCTTTTCTGAAATGTCCCCGTGACATGTATGGGGGAGCATTCAAATGACTGGCCTTGGGCATGGGGTAAATTTGAGTATCACATTCCCTCTGTCCCTCCCCATCTCTGAAAAGGAGCATTTAATAGGACTTATCCCACATGGCCATTATGGCAAGAACCTGAGACCATGTAAGAGGGGGAAACGTAGGCTTCCACTATGATTATTGCATCTTGTGAGGCTCAGTTTAAATGTTATGGTCCTGCCTTAATTCACAGTCTCTGTCTGTCAGTGGACGGGCTGGGGGTGATAGAAATGCGTTTCTGCTCTGAAGTGCCCAGTGTTCCCCCTTCATTCTTGAATTTGCTATTGGTGTTCTGAGCAGACTCTTTGCACTTGAATTATCCAAAAGTATTAAAGTACTTCTAGTTACTAAACACATTTGAAAATAACAAAATTGCTCTTCTTTTGAGAAATGTTGAAATGATGATTATGAAAGACTTTTTTCTCTTCTTGTTAAAAATTCAGACAGGTTCCTTTGTCAGTATTTATGCTCTCTTATATATCTATGCCAGAGTCCAATCTGAAAGGGTTTCCCAGAGATCTAAGAATTCTGTGGCTTAGTTATTGGTAACATGCTTGGCTCCTAATTTAAGGAAATTTGATATCATAGTTTCCCCCCCAAATGTTACACTTTCTCCCCTCCCCCCAACTGATGTGTCTAAAGGAAGGGAAAAAAATCTATTTATTGACACCTGATTTTACTCCTTAGTCTTAATAGGGCTTAATATAAGTATAGAATACAATTTTAAGTTTTATGTAACTTAGTACTATTTATGTTCTGTTCTAGTGATCTGACCTATGAACAAGCTTGAAAAATCACCTGAGCACACCTGACAGATGACTTAAATCTCTGTGCTCAAATAAAGAACTGTTTACGTTGGGAATTTTGCTTGAATTTAGACATTGAGGTTTCTATGATGGCCTATCAAACCAGAGAATATCAGTTGACATTATTTGGGTTGAAATGATTTGAGTAATACCTTATAGTCCATTTATTTTTATTTAAAAAATTAATTTTACTGAGATATAATGGACACATAACATTGTGTATGTTTAAGATGTATATTGTGTTTATTTGATACATTAATATATTGCAATATGATTACCCCATAGCATTAGCTAACACCTTTGTCATGTCACATAATTATAATTTTGTGGTGGGAACAATTAAGATCTAGTTTCATAGCAACTGGGTAGTTTATAATATGGTATTGCTGTCTATAGCAAATAGCAAATATAGCAAAGTTTTTAAATGTCAATTAAAAAGGAAACAAACAAAATAATGCCACATGTTCATCTATGAAGTCACCCTCCCCGTGAATGCATTTTTCAGTGGAAGGGTTAGATCCCATTCAAATTCCACAAACCTAGGAATAAAGACACTGGGTGCTCCTGAGTGCAATGGGTCTGGGACCCACAGGGCCTGAGATGGACTGTATTTGACGTTCCCTGACTCGGTTCCTTTGTCCAGTCTGGTAGAGAGAGCCATCCCGAAACATAAATTGTAGAAAAGACATTCCTGAAGGACAAAGGATGAGCTCTCACAAGCCTTACCTGAAAGGGGCTGTGTTTTATGTGGCAGATTTAATTTGGTTTCTCTGCACCTGGTTATGCAGGTGGGTAGAGAGAAGGAGCATCTGTTTTGCACAGAGATCTCTAACTTTGGGTTTCATCTCAGTGTCCCGGGTTGTGTCTCTTGTATTCAGGCGACTCCTGGATACGGAGGATGAGCTCAGTGACATCCAGTCCGATGCAGTGCCTTCGGAGGTCCGAGACTGGCTGGCCTCCACCTTCACGCGGCAGATGGGGATGATGCTCAGGAGGGGCGAGGACAAGCCGCGGTTCAAGAGCATCGTGCATGCAGTGCAGGCTGGGATATTTGTGGAGAGGTAAAGAAAACGGTCATTCATTCGATGACCAGAGCAGCAGGAGGAACACCCATTTCCAAAAACTGGAAGATTTGCTTTGACGTGGTTTTGGTGTCTTTATAAATACTGAAAAATTCTGGGTGGAAACAGCTAGTCTTGAATAAGAAATGGCAAAAACCTGACTGCACCCTCCCTGGAGCATCATTAGGGCAAGCTTTTGCCTCTGCTCAGATTTCTTTTGTTATCTAGAGAAGACTACGTTTGAGTTCAGTCTCTCGTTGTTAAAAAAGGACAGCATCAAATCCATCATCCTTTGACGAGTGGATGAGGTCTGCATTTGGAACAGGTCAGGGACAGCTTATTGACCCAGGGAGGTCAGTTCATTGAAAGGGTTTGAGTTCCCCGTGGAACTTTCCAATTTTGTTTGCCATTTTGTTCTTTGAAATTGAATTGCCCCCTTCCCTGGAAATAGATCCCAGAAATTGATTAATTCTTCCTATAATCCTTATTATAAAAATGGACTTATTGCTCCTATAATTCTTATTGTACAATGACCGGTTGTAGAAATGCCACCGTTTACCTAGGACATTTTCCTGCTTGTTTTTGGCAGTTGTAAAGAATAGCTCTTCTAAATGGGTTGGCCATAGGAGTTCTTTTCCAGGTTAATGTTCTACATTGCATACTGCCTATGTTGAACTATAATTCGCTTCTGGCAGAAGAGGTGACCCATTTTAATCATTTATTTCCAATTTGAGCCACATAGATTAATTCTTTTGTTTCCAACAGTTCATGTGTTTGGGATTATGTTAATTTCTTTTGAATTTTACACTTAGGCCACTTGAGTGATTATGAAAAAAGTTATAAAAGAAATTTTAGGTTCCTTGGGTTGCCAGATGACATGACTTCTCATTATTTGTTGATACCTGGTAGAAGTCTGTGGCATGCTAATCCTTCTTTGTAAGATATAATATTGAATTTTCTCCCTCTCTGACTTTGCCAGAATGTATAGACGGACGTCAAATATGGTTGGACTGAGCTACCCAGCAGTGGTTATCGAAGCATTAAAGGTAATACCAATGAAAAAGTCTTACCATGTGAGTGTACTCTGTCAAAAATACAGTTACATTTGTCATTAAAAAATAAGAGGCTTTAATTTATAGTCCATTTACAGATTTCCCTGTCATTCTTGATTTCTTTACTTTTATTATCTTTTACTTACCTGCTTTAATGATATCACTGCCTTTTAGTCCTCATCTCGCTAAGGTTTTAAATTCAACTACTTCCTTAGAGTCATTTCATTATGGGGCTCAGTCTGACTCTGGCCAAAAATCAAATTTGATCTTGTTATAAACATTCAACATCAGGAGGACCTTTGATGATGATAATTGTACCATTCTATGATTACCTACTCTAAGTCCATTTTGTAGATGCATAAACTTAGAAGTGAAATTAAAGAAAAAAAAGAAAGAAAAAGACACAGCCCGGCTGGTGTGGCTCAGTGGACTGAGCATCCTCCCAGCAGCTATTTGATATTTCTCTGTCACATCGATGTTTCTCTCTCTGTCCCTTTCTCTCTCTCTAAAAAATAAATAAAAACATATTTTAAAAAATGAAAATAAAAAAAGACACAGTTAATTAGGGACAGGACTAAAGTTTGATTCCAGAGTTCCAGGCACATAGTAAGCCATCAATAAAATCTTATGGCATGAATGAGTGCCCCAGAACCCCATCCTTTTCATATCCTCTACTGTTTTCCCAAGACTCTCACGAGCCCCAAAGTCCCATTTGAAGTCATGCAGGTGTTTGAGTTTAAATGGGCTAAATCCTGTGAACTATTCCTGTGAGCTCTTGGAATTGTACAGACTATTTCTAAGAGTCCCAGAACAGATATATTCCTCTAGGTGTGTGTTGATTCACATCCACTGGTCTGAGAGTATCCCAGCTGTGTTGAAGCTGATTTGGTTTCTGGATTTGAGGGTGGGGCTGCTCTGGGGCTCAGGATCACTGGGCTGGTTGACTTTGCATCGTGTTGACACATGGCGTTGCGTCCACCTACTCGGGCGTGCCAGCATCCTGACTGTGGTTACAACTATTCTTGTCTTTCTCTGAAACCTGATGACATTTTCAGAATTTAACTTAAATTCCCTATTCATGGAATTGGGGGTGGGAGTGCTTCTTGTTCAATTTAATGTCAAGAAACAGTATTTTAGGGCCACTTTGATTGCATATTTCATAGTTCTTTTCTCTTGTTTCAGAGACATTCACTAGTTGAATTTGTGAGATCCTGTGTATTGAGATTCTCAGTTCTCTATTTTCTCTCTTCTCTTTAAAATTTTATTAAATTTGTTGGGGTGACATTGGTTAATAAAATGATATAGGTTTCAAGTGTATAATTCTATAATATATCACCTGTATATTCCATGTGTGTTCACCACCCAAAGCCTAGTCTCCTTCCATCACCATATATTTGACCCCTCTGTACCCCTTTTAATGTTCCCCAACCCCCTTTCCCCCGGTAACTACCATACTGTTGGCTTTGTCTTTGAGTTTTTGTTTGTCATTTGTTGCTTTTCAGTTTTATATCCCTGATATGAGTGAAATCATATGGTTCTTGACTTTTTCCATCTGACTTATTTCACTTTGCATGATATTCTTAAGATCCATTCATGTTGTTGCAAATGGCAGTATTTCACCTCTTCTTACAGTTGAGTAGGGTTCCATTGTATACACATATGTACCACATCGTTTTTATCCCGTCGTCTATTGAAGGACACTTTGGTTGTTTCCATGGGCTAGCCACTCTGAATAATGCTACAGTGAACACAGGGGTACATATATCTTCATGAATGAATGTTTTCACATTTTTGGAATAGATACCCAGAAGAGGGATTGTTGGGCTATCTGGTAACTCTATACTTATTTATTGAGGAACCTCCATCCTGTTTCCCATAGTGGCTGCACCAGTTTACATCCCCACCAGCAGTGAATGAGGGTTCCTTTTTCTCCACAACCTCTTCAACACTTGGATTTTTGGTTAAGATCAAGTGTAGTATCTGTCCTTATCAATTCAATGTCCCTTCTTAACTCATCTTAAGAATAGGAAGGATACTCAAGAGGGATACAGCAAGAAGTTTCCTCACTCTTCTTCGCCCCCCGTTAGTGCCTGGTATATCCGTGTGATGTACAGTGACATTTCCCATTTAATCAGTGAAATGAATTCACATAAGATTTGGTGTTTCATAACACCCGCTATAAAGTTGCATTGATTTTCATAATTGAACCCGAAACATTGAGTGAGTCTTAGGAACATTAAAAGCCTCTTTTATTTTTAATTCCTTCCTTTATTGTGAACATAAATACAGGTGATTATACAGGTAGTAAGAAATTGATGAAAATATGTCTTCCAAATTGGAGCATCATCTCGATGCAGAGTAATTGAAGGAAATGTGGAACAACCTGTGATGCGCATGAATTGTTATTTCACGTTTAGGGAAAAGCGATTCTCAAATGCACACGTCTTTCTGAGGGGAGGGGCACCTAGTTGATTCAGACAAAGAGGAAGTACTGACTGTCTGAATTGCTACCCTTCTCCACAAATATTGCTGATACGTACATAGGCTTTTTCTCTTGGCCCTGTGCCCTGTTCACTGGGGAAGTTCAAGACCTTTTTAAATGTAATTTTGTTCTGCTTCCCTAGAGTCTGGTTTTATCTGCAGTGGATTGGAGGTGAGTTAGAGAGATCACACTGATAGACACTTTCTTCTTCTTCTTTCTTATTTTTTTAGGTAGTGCTGGTTAGGAAAAAGGTTATTCACTTCACTGCCAGCCGTTTATATGAGATCACTGTTTGCTTCTATTACAGAAAGTTTCCCCAAGGGCTGAGAGAATACAGTGCAGTAAAATAACCACGAGGCTACTGTCATGCTAACCTTTGTGATTAACGTGAGAACAGGGCATAAGACAACATTTTAGCAAGAGAATGATTAACCACCACCCGTCTCTGATTTAGGAATATGTGGCATTTTTGTCCTTTTACTTTTTTCCATGCAATAGATACAGGCTTCTTATTTGGGATGTTTTATCTCCAGTCTTCTGGGGTAGGGTTGTTGGGAATGTAGAGTGTCCTGTTCTTTAGAAGCGGCCTGTTTGTGTGACTTAGGCAGGGACGCCCTGGAGAGACTCCAGGTTTGAAGTGGGAGGGAGTGAGGAGGTCCAGACCTCCTGTGCCTCAGATCCATAGGAAGTCCGTGAAGCTTCTCCACGGGAGTGGTCCTTGGGCCAAGTTTGATAAGAGAGGAAGATTAGTTTAAGGCAGTTAAACTAGGTGCTTATTAAATGCAGAGTCCAGACCCCACACTAGAGTTTTACAGAGTTCCGAAAGTCAGCATTTTTTCTGAGCACCCCAGGAAAAACTAAAATTTCAGAATCACGGTTAGGCCCTTCTGAAAATGAGGGTCCCGAGAGGACATCCATCTCGCTGTCTGTTTACTCGTTCTCTCGTCTAAGTCCTAATATTCAGAGTAAATCTTGACTTCTCTCTATGATAACCTCTTTATTTTTAGTAATAGTCTTTCTCTTTTTTATTCATTCTGGAGAGTAGGGTTAAAAATGGTCAGACCTGACAGTGCTGTCCCACCTACTGGGTTGTCAGAGGACTTTTCTGTAGGACTAATGGCCAGAGAATGGGTGCCAGGGCAATGCCAATCACAGTAACCAAGGTGCAGCTTCGGTCTTGGGCTAATCCTAAATGGTCCCACTGTCTATGGCCTGAGCCCTGTTGGGGTATTTAGGGCATAAGGCTTGCTTGGGTCACAGAGTATATTCATGAAGTTTGCAATGTCATCTGCCGGCAATGTTATCACGAGGTGGTGTCGCTGGAGTTAATACCTGGTTCTGGTACCTAATGGCATTAGACACGTCATTTCATCTTCCTGAGGTTGCCATCTGTCAGTCTGGGGAAAGTAACACCTATTTCTAGAGTTGTGAGGGTTTGAAAATGTATATAACTGGCACTCAAAAAATGTGCTCCATGCTTGTAGCTATTTCTTTAGTTGTTATAAAGGAAGATAAATTATTGAGAACTGAGGTGAGTTACTATTGGTGTGAATTGAAAGAATCGAGTTTGAGACCCTTGTGGAAAATTTGGTTTCCCCTCTATCCAGTTCAGTTTTTCTGTGCCCTGGCATCCATGAGAGAGACCTTTGATGACTTTGGGATGATGTTGACAGTGGGACACTTGGAGAGGACAGGATAGAGTGGGCGGGTGATGTTGGCATGCAGTTCCTGAGAGCCGGGGTCTCCCTTGCCTGACTCCATGTGGTCTCCCGCAGACCCTTATTACCAGGTTCACAGCCATTCACTTTCTCTACTGAAAGTGCGACTCTGTCACAGTGAGAAACCAAGTGACTGCTGCTGTAACTATTGGTTAAACACACCCTCGTTGATAAATAGCTGCCTATAAGTCAAAGGCACAGCAGAGATAGTGTCAACATGTATCTTGCAGTATTTATAGACAAAAAGGCTTTGAACTTCAAAAACAGTGTAGGAGGTGTGTGTTCAGCTTAGCCCTTAGTTTTACTTTTTCAGTACGGTGACTCACAGAGTTGAGGGCCAGGTCCCCAGATCAGTGACTCCAGAAGTGGCAACAATTTTCTGTTGCCACTTCCGTGAACGGAAGGCTCTCTCCTCGGGTTCCGCTCAGCAGTGTGGATGGAAGTGACACACGCTCTTTTGTATTCTACGACGTGTGTTTCTAAGCACTTTAAAGTGGGTTGATATTCTCCACTGTGGACTAAGAGGACGCCTGTGGAGGTATCGGGGGGCTGGGGAGATGTCCAGAGCAGGGAGGCCCTGGAGCTTCTTGTCAGTGGATCAGCAATTAGAAACTCAGCCGAGTAGGTAGTGGAAGGGCTCCGTGGACAGAGCCCGAGCTCAGGGATCCGGTGACCACGTGTTTGTGTGCAGGGCCCGTCGTGTTCCCTGCACTTACTTGTGATGGGGCTTTGGGGAAATTAGGCAACTTCTCAGTTTTCTCACCTATAAAATGTGACTAATAAACTGTTTCCCTTAGAGTGGTTTTCTGGATAAATTATGTATTTATTACTGGTTACAATGCCTAGCATATAGTAGGCACTCAATAAATTAGTAATAAGATTATTAGTAATAAGATTTTTTAATATTTGATCCATAAATGCCATATAGAATGGAAAGGGCATTCGAGTCTTGTGCTGTGAACTCCTGGGGGCTGCAGGCCGACTCCCCAGGGAGAAATTGGTGGCTGTGTCAGTGGCCGTGGACTAATGTGGTCTTTCTCCCCGCCCGGTCCTGCAGGATGTGGATAGGTGGTCCTTTGATGTCTTTTCCCTCAATGAAGCCAGTGGGGACCATGCACTGAAATTCATTTTTTATGAGTTACTCACACGCTACGATCTGATCAGCCGTTTCAAGGTCAGTGTCTAATTAAAAACACACACACATTAATCTGTCCTTGCATGACTTTGGGGTAAGGCCGAGGATCCGCTTAGTAGAGACCCAACCTGCCCTGGGTGACTCGGGACGCCTGGTCGGGACAGTCACTGCCATGAACGGCTCTGTGGCGGGAACTTGTCATTGCTCCCCTGCCTGGCGGGGCTCCTTGACCGCGGAGAGGATGGAGCCACAGCTTTGGATCCCCGTCTTCCTAGAAGCACCGCTCGAGGCCTGAACCAGCAGAACTCCCCCAGGCTCTGCCCGCGGATCTCATTCCAGCCTGATATCGTGTCCGACCTCCTCCCGTTGGCAGGGAGACAGAACGGAGACAGGATGCGCGGCGCTGTCTCCGCAAGCTTGTTCCCACCACTTGACTCAAATGCAGACAAATACTCTCACTTATCATCTGTGACAGACCAGCGGTATTGCCCAGCCATTTATGCTGCAAATTAATTCTTCAGCTGTAAGTAGAGAGTGTGAATCGTTCCCAGTGTCCAATCCCTTCAGCCTCTCATTCTGCAGACTCTGGAGGTTGGGCGGGGTCCCCAGGCAACCTGTGACTCCACCTGCCGACAGCTGTCGTGTCCGGCTCCTCGTCCTGCGGGTGAGCCTCTGGAAAATGCAGGCAGTTTTCTCTACAGCACCTTGACCATTCTGGACAGCACGGTTCCTTAGTGCTTTCCGAAGGTCTGCGAGTTTGGGGGTGCTTCTGACGGCGGTGGTCCTCCGCTTCTCTTGCACCGGCAACCTGTTTGCAAAGCCGGTGATGCCGGGCACTTCCCTCAGAGCGACGCTCTCTAGTGTTTCAGGGGTTCACAGATCTCTCACGACTGCCCCAAGAACCTAGGTGCTTAGATCTTCAGTTTCAAAAACGAAAATTAATCTCCGACGTCTGAAAGTCAGGAAGAACACGTCTGGGCTGTCACAAAGCATCGCAGCGGTGTTGTCCTTGCTTTTTCTCCCTGGTGTGATGTTCAGTCTCCTGGAACACACACCCCTTCCTTCCCCCAGTCCTGAGCTTGGTGATATACCCTAAACCAAGGACTTGGTCCAGAAGACTGGCATGACGCCTGTTTGAAGGGTGCTCTTATTTTCTACAGACATTTTGCACTTGCCCTTCACTTTCTGCCACGTGGAAAAAGAAGGTTTATACGTTATACATATTTGAGACAGAAAAGCAATTACGCTAATTGGAACTATTATTCCAAATTGCAAGGCACCTATAATGAAATGTCAAGTAAGAGATATAAGGACACAGTTTGTTTCTGGTCCCGTGTATAACAGACTCTGACACTATCGTTATGTGTCCAGTACATATAATCACTTCTCCTAAAGGGCACGTTGTTTAGGAGGTGGCGGCCAGCGTTTGTTTGGCAAACATTTAACGACTTGAGATCTTGGTGTGCTTTGTGTTTGGTCATGAATAAATGAGATGTGCTGTACAGTACATGTGCATTTACTTCTCAAGAAATGAAGACTCAAACCTTTTCTTGAGAAATAAATGAACACCTACCCTTCTGTCCTACATGTCTTTGAGATGCTCCTGTGTAATGTTTTTTCCTCACTTAAAGCTACTAAATCACGCCCAGCCAGGGTGGCTCACTGGTTGAGCATCGACTCATGCATCAAGAGGTTGCCGGTTCGATTCCCGCTCAGGGCACATATCTGGGTTGTGGGCCCAGTCCCCAGTGGGGGGCATGCAGGAGGCAGCCAGTTGATGTTCTCTTTCATCAATGTTTCTCTCTCTCTCTCTCTCTCTCTCTGAAATCAATAAAGAATAAAAAAGGGTACTAAATCACTAGCCCATTAACTTGAGCACTCTTTTTCAGATCCCCATTTCTGCACTCGTCTCATTTGTGGAGGCCCTGGAAGTGGGGTACAGCAAGCATAAAAACCCTTACCACAATTTAGTGCATGCCGCCGACGTCACTCAGACTGTGCACTACCTCCTCTATAAGACAGGAGTCGCGGTGAGTACACGTGGGAACTCTAGGATCACACAGACAGCCAGGTCTCTATGACCTTGCACTTTGAAATCTTCTTCAGAATTGGCATGTGGTTATTCATGGGCCCATAAACCCAGCATGCACTTGTTACCATCCAGTGAGGGCACATGCTGGATGACTTGGTCTGATAGCTCACTGAATTAAAAATGGGAAGCAGTGGGAGGAGCATGGGCTTTGGAGCTAGAGAAAGTTGGATAGACATCCTTGTTTAATTACTTATTCGGTTCTGTGACCTCTGATAAATGGCTTGAATCTCTGAGTCAAGATTTCCTAATTTCTAAAATGGTGAAAAATCTTCTGCTTTTTAGAACTACTGTGACAGTTGGGGATAACTCATCAGTTAGGAATTATTGTCATAACACATAAACAGGGACAGCAGTGTGGCGACAGCCAAAGGGAAAGGGGGGCGTGGGGTGGTGGAGGTGGGCAAAGTAGGGGAAAATGGGGACAGAAGACGACTTTGCTTGGGGTGAGGGGTGCACGATGCAGTGTGCTGGTTATGTTTTATCGAGCTGTACACCTGAACCTCTATGGTTTACGAACCAATGTCACCCCAATAAATTCAATTAAAAAAACTTTGTTGGATTTCCCCCAAACCTGTGACCAAGTTTCAGTTCTTCCTTATTGTAAAGTTGATTTCTTAGAAATATTATTTAAAAAGCTGTTTTTAAAAAAATTATAGAAACACCACACAGGGAACCTCTTTAATATGATAAAGGATTTCTGCCAGAAACTTAGAGCAGATGTCATAGTTAATGGTGGTTCTTTGAAACAGGGAGCCCGCATTAATATTGCCATTGAGATTTTTCTGGAGGTCTCAGCCATGCAGTATGGTATCTAAAGAATTTAAGGATGCAACCTGTAAAAATAATTTGATCATCTCCTTTTAAAAAAATCAAGAAATTTAACTATACATTATCAGATCAAATAAAAGACTTCAATAAAATCTGAATAAAATAGCTCTCCCATACACTGGAAATTAACATGTGTAATAGAAAAACAGATTTTCAACAGTTTTTAAAAAATCTATAAATTACCTATGAAGAATGTCAAAACTGATAAAAAGGAAACTATAAAATGAAAGGAAACAAAATAATATGTATCTAAATAAAGACATACACCATATTTTTAATGCCTCAGCATTATATAGATATCAATTTTCCTCAAACTAATCTATAGATTCAAGGCAATACCCATAAAAATTCTGATAGGATTTAACATAAAATATGATAAGCAGAGTCTGAAATTTATGTAGACAAGACATTTTACAACCTTAGAAAACAGTTTTGAAAAAGACAATGTGTGTAGTGGGGTAGTTGTTACTCTACTAGGTATTATAATACCTACTGAAACTATAGTAATACAAACAGTGTGGGTTTTGTGCCAAAATAGACAAATATAGCAATGGAATTGATTAGAGTTTCAAAAATGAAACCCAAATATTTATTGAGCACTTACATGCTAGTTACCTTTTACAGGGTAAGGATGCAATGAGATTCTTACAGAATTTGCATTTTAGTGGGAGGTTAAAGATAGAAGACTGATCAAGAAATAAACAAGAAAATATCACTAATGTTCTACAGAAAATTAGAAGAGAGCACCCACGTAGGGAAAACTGGGAGTTTTATTAAACAGCCGGGAAAGAGCTCTCTGTAGAGGTAATAGTTCATCTGAGATGGTTGTGATTTTAGGCTTGAGCCATGCTAAGAACCTAAGAAGAGTATACCAGCAGAGTTGGCACTGAAGTGTTCATATAAACACAATATCATTTGTTCCCTCATTAGAGAACAGCTTTGTTGCATTTAAGGAACAGAGAAATAAGGTAAGCCTGGCGGGAGCAGCCAAGGACAGGGACAGTGGTGTGAGATGAGGCTGGGGAAGGAGGCAGGAAGCAGGCCGATCTGGCTCTGTAGGCCCGGGGAATGGGTTTCAGTCTTATTCTAAGTGCAGCGCGAGGCCACTGGAGAGATTCGGAGGAGGAGTGACGGGACCTGACAGAGATTAGGAAAGTGTTACCGTGGAGCATGGATTCCGAGGCAGCCCTTTGAAGAGGGAGTCTGCTGGGGAGATAACAGCAGCTTGGACGAAGAAGGATACAGGGGCAGAAATGAAAAGAATTTCTGAAAAGAATTGGTTGGTGAATAGGATTTGGAACATTGAAGAGAGGAGTCCAGCGTACACCGTCGATTTTTGCTTTGATAGGGTGGACGAGAAAATCTGGTAGCAAAGCAGGCTTTGAGGGAAGGGAACACGAGTTCTGATTTAGAGAGGTTGAGTTTAAAATCCCTACTAGACATCTATGTGGAGAAGTCAAGCAGGGAGAAAACTAAGGGAGTCTGGAGGCTGGAAAGAGGTCAGGGACATCGGCACGCAGATTAGGCAATGGACATATCAATGCGGCCGAAAGACACGGAACCAGATCAGATGATCTAAAGACAGTGTGTGAAGAGAGGAGAAGGGTCCCGGAGCAGCCCAGAGTTTAAAATGAAGGAAAGGAATTAGAGCCAATAATAGTGACATCGGGACAAAAAGCAAGAGGGTGTGGGGTCATGAAAGCCGAGGAAGGGACATGGTTCAAAAGAGAATGGTGACTCATGTGGGATGGCAAAGAGTCAAGTAGGATGAGAAGTGACCACTGCCTTTGGGACATGGAAGTCATTGGTACCCTCAATGTGAAGAGTCCATTGGTGTGGTAAGGATGGAACACTGACTAGAGTACAATAAAGAAAGAATTGCAGGTGAGCAGGTGAGGACATGTCTATAGACAGCGACATTACAGGGAAAAGTTTGGGGGACAGTTGTTCATTGGGAATAAGCAGATTATTTTTGTCCTTCTTCACACCATCCATCAGAGAGCAGACAGAACAATTGAAGACATGAGCACAGAAATCAAAATTTGCTCCTATTAGAAGAAAATATGAGAGTATGTGTGTACCCTTGAAAAAGGAAATTCTTTAAGCCTCAAACTCAAACGTTATATGACAAAATATTGATTAATGTGAGTATATTAAAACCTGTAGAATATAAAACATCATCATAAACTAGTACTTGAGGAAAATATAGAGAGAGCAAGGGTTAAAATCCAGATTATATAAATAAATCAGCCAGTGAGAAATGACACAAATTCAGTAGAAACATAGGAAAGTCATTCAGAGTTAATATTGCCCTGTCATCACTGTCTCTGGTGGGAAGAATCTTGTCCCCTTCTATATTCATATGCTGAAGTCCTAATCCCCAGTGCCCCAGAATGTGACAGTGTTTGGCAATGGGGCCTTTACAGAGGTAATTAGGGTTAAGTGAGGTCATATGGGTGGGCCCGCATCCAGGATGACGTGTCCTTATGAAAAGCGATGAGGACACAAACATGCACCTGCACGTTGAAGAGCACGTGAGGACAACGAGAAGGCAGCCATCTGCAGGCTGGAAGAGAGTTCTCACCACAGTGCCACTGTGCCCACACCTCGATCTGTGAGAAAATACATTTCCGTTGTTTGTCCATGGCTGGGGAGCTCACTTGGCTGGGCATTGTCCTTTCCACCAAGAGGTTGCCGGTTCGATTCCAGGTCAGGGCATAGACCTGGGTTGCGGGTGTGTACGGGAGGCAGCTGATAAATGTTTCTCTCTTTTTCTCTAAAAAAAATTGGTAAAGATATTTTGGGGTGAGGATAAAAAAATTCTGTTGTTGAAGCTGCCTGCCCTGTGGCATTTTCGTAGGGCAGCCCTAGCAAACGAATACAGAAGCAGAGCCAAGGTCGGTCCCCGGTCTGACTTCGCAGGCCATGCATTTCAATGCTGAGCTGTGCTTCTCCGATGCCTGGGGCCAAAAAGGAGCGGTATTCTTACATCCCAGTAACCTCATGTGCTACTTCAAAGGATTGTGGTGAGGATCAAAGTAGATGTGAAAAGGTACTTTGGACTCATCTATTCAACATGTATTCAGTTAGCGCCTACTGTGTAGTGTACACTGGAGGTAGAAAGGGGAAGGATGCACAGCACTTTTTCCAGCCCTCAAGAAAAACTCCCAAGCATTTATGCTAATGAAGTTATCATTAACGCAAATGTTACATCATAGCAGCCAGTGATTATGATATACTGCATAATGTCCTTAATTGAGCTTATTTGCCATTGCATTTTCATGATCAATTCAAGCCATATTCAGAATAATTCTTAAATATAGAAACTGCTCCCCACCCACTCTCTCGGAAACACAGCTCAAAACAAACTTCTTTCTCTGCCAGCTTAGAAAGCAGTGGGGAGCAGTCTGATGAATGGAGAACATATTGCGACACTAACCTTTCATTACAAGCCAAGAGGGGGAAATGCTTTCAGTCATTTCAGCTCTATAAAGGGTGAGACACACAGGGACTCAAAACATTCCATTGATAAAGTGATGCCTGGACCTCCACATCAGCTGATGGTAATTTGTGTATGTCACTCATTACTGCTTCACTCAGATGCCTGGAAGATGCTTGAATCCTTTCAGATTTATTTTGCTCACTTCTAAGAGACAGTTTTTGAACAGAATTGGAATGAAGCGTTGTTGATTGCATAGACAGGAATCAGACCCCAAGCTCCAGTCTGCTTGTGATTTAGGTCAAAAGATTTCAAACTCCAAAGCTACTCCTTGGCCCCTTTCATTGCTCTTATCAGCAAGGTACTATTAATTTTTCTTTTGCTTATTTTTTTTTAAGATTTTAAAATGGATTTTTAGAGAGAGGGGAAGCAAGAGAGCAAGAGAGAGAGCAAGAGAGAAACATTGACGTGAGAGCAAAACATAGATGGGCTTCCTCCTGCACACCCCCTAGGGGGATCGAGCCTACAACCCTGGGCATGTTCCTGACCAGGAATTGAACCAGCAACTTTTTGGTGCATGGGACAATGCCCAACAAATTGAGCCACACTGGCCAGGGACCTTTTGCTTGTTTTTTCAGAGGACAGAAGCTGTGTATCTTGTTCTTTTGGTTACAGATGGCATCATCATTTGTAAGGGAAACATTAAGGACATCTAAATGGCATCCTGGTTAAAAAGCACCAACTAATTTTAGTAGAGTTTGTGGTCAGCAAAATTTGGCCCCCATAGACTTTTGATTTCTTATGAGTGGTCACATTTGCTAATATGTTACATTAGATGGCAAAAGGGACTTTGTAGATACAGTGAAGGTTGCTAATCAGAGAACCTTTAAAATAGGGAGAGCATCCTGGATTCTCCAGGTGCGACCCATGATCACATGAGTCCTTACAAGACAACAGGTGTGGCAGAAGAGCTGGGAGAGAAGCCACCAGCCCTCCCAAGCCTGAGGAGGGAGAAAGCCGGTGGAAAGCACCGGGAAATGAATTTTGCTAGTGCCTTGAATGCTCCTGGAAACAGACTTCCCCACTGAGCTTCAGGAAGGGGCGCGGGCTTGCCGACACCGAGGTCCTGAGCAGGACGTCCCGCCAGCCACACGCCGACTTCTCACTGACAACTGTGTGCCAGCAAATGGCAGGTGTTCTTTAAGCCTTGAGTTTGTGGTAATCGAAGGTCGAAACAGAAAATGAGCAGAGGGGTGGACACATTCCTAAAGACACTATCATGCGCATAGCAAAGTCACAGTTTGCTGATAGTGCTGCCACTAGCAATGGGCAATCGCCACGACCCTTTTCTTCAGGAGTCTCCGGCCCCCACCTGCCCCGTCCACACACGGCCTGCTCCCCTCGGTCTTACGCAGCCAAACCCCCAGTCCACCATTAGCACAGTTGCCAGCGCACTGCTGCCATCGGCTTAGTGATGACGCTCCTGTCCCGTAGATAGTCAAGTACTGTTAGCGTCTGTGGCTTGTGCCCTGTCACACTCTGATGAGTCTGGAGTAATTCATGTGCGACTTACATTTCCGACTTTTATGGGTTGTCATAAGGTCTTCTGGGTTCACAGTAATTAATTTGGAAAGGCGAGGAAATCTGAGCTTTATTAAAATATGAAGCCCAGTTTCCCTCAAAATAGCTTCTGCCACCTCCTCAGTTTCTATTAGTGATGCCATCTAATATCATCTGCGGCTGTTTTTGCCACTCAGGCTATGAATGTTGGGGGCATCTTTAATTCATTGTTCTCCCCAACTGAAGCCTCTTCCCATCCTCCTCATTCAGTTAATTGCCGAGCCATTTGGATGCTGCCCCCATACTGCCTGTATATCCTACGAGGACTTCCCCATCCCAAAGCTCCGCGTTATTTTCCCCTCTCAGTGGTGGGTTGAGCACAGTACTCTCTTGTGTGTAAATTTCATTGCCTGTTGAATCTGCTCTGTGTTCCTCATCCTGCCTTTTAATGCTGGATATCACAGGGCCCTGATCCGCCCTGGCGCCCACTCCACAAATGGGAACCCCCTCCTTACTTGTTTTGAATCAGCTTTTGCCACTGGACTTGCTCATGTGTTTCTTCTTCTGAAAATTCCCAATTCCATTTCTTGCTCTGTCCAATTTTCAAGACCCATCTTAAATATCCCTTGTTTGTTTGTGAAGCTGTCTTCTTCCCTCCCTCCCTCCCTCCCTCTTTTCCTTCCTCTCCTCCTTCCTCTCCTCCTCCTTCTTTTTCTACCAGATACCATCTTTCCTTTCTCTTATCCCCAAACAGCAAAACTGACTCCAAACATCCACAGGGCTTGTTGAAAAGCCAGGGTGTTGAAATGAGGTTCAAAGGCCATGGTTTTATTTTCGGTTGTATGCTTGTTTATAATCATTTGTTGTTTTTGGTGTGTATTAGAAGTAGGTTGTACCTAAGGTAGGATCTTGTTAGTACATCCAGGTAAGGAGGAAGTTATACTGATATTTGTAATGTGAGAACTGTAATTGTGTAGTTATTTAGACATCTGCTGGCTGGGCTGATGCTCTGATTCAGATTTGTTTAGATGCCACACTGTCTTCCATTCATGATCTTATTTACAAATGTTAATGTTGCATGAGTTTGGAGAAAGAGAGAAAAGTGGGGAGTGGGAGTCAGGGCAGGTGGGTGGGAACAAGGTGTTGGGAAAGAAAAGAAAGATGTTGCCAAAATGGAAAAAATATATGTATGGAAAATATCAAGAGAAATGTGTAATATAAAATTAAACCTGTATAGTTTTATGCAAGATTGAGTAAACACATGAACCAAAAGGAAACATGACTTAGAGATCAGGAGCAGAGACTCCGGAGTATACTGATATTGTGTGACTTGTCAAATCACTAGTTTTGGGATGTTGGGTAAGTTACTGAGCCTCTCCAGCCTCAGTTTCCTCATCTGTAAAAAGGGGATAACAGTACCCACCTTTATGGAGCTGTGGGTATCGCATAAGTTCTCATGTGTTAATAGGCCCGACGCAAAGCGAACTCCTTGTGTCGGGCCTGAAGATCGGCCCTGGGCGGCTTTCAGGGTCGGTTCGGCGTCCGTTGTCTCCGATTCTTACTTTTCACCCATCTCTTTTTCAGTTAATGTTGTTGACTTTTCATCTTAGTCTGCTTTCTCTTTCTCTTTCTGTCCCTAAGTACATCAGTTTATATTTCTGGGGCTTGTTATCGAGGTTATCAAAACGTTTCCTGACATTTCATGCTGGATTCTGCTAGAAATCATTTTCAAAAGTGTATGTATTTTTTCCCCTGAGTTATTACTGTGCTCATTCTTTTCCTAACGATTAAGTCTTTTTTGCATAGGTTGTATGTAGTTTGTTGATTTATTTTCCCTTTAGCCACCCTCAAAGAAAGTAATAATTCTCAGGAAATTCCTTAGAGAAAGACCAAAATTAGTGGTTAATTGGGGAAAAAAAATAGTTAAAGTGAGAATTATTAAAAATTGACCTGTTCATTTAAAAAATAATTTTGTGTTAATTTACATTAAAATATATTTTATTTACTGACCTTTAGTTTAGATCCCAGGCTGCTTTGTGAATCCTGCTGATGTAGTCACTTGGGTTTGTCTTGCATTCAACTTCTAAGATTTCTAGTTTCATGACTTTAAAGTGAAATGGGAACTTAACCATACCCATCGAACACAGTGAGGGTAGAATCTCTCAATGTTTATAGTTGTTCTCTACTCTTTCAAAGTTGTTGCACCTACTTTGACAGCTATTTGTTCGTGACTGTCTATAGCATTGAACTTAGGTTCTGTGGACATAACGACTCCATTTTTTGGTTCATCTTTTATTGGCTTATGTCATGTTTAATTACATAACTTTGATAACAGTGCAATGGGTCAAAACAGGGTTTGGAATAAACCACACTGAAACTTGTAAGCATCAATTAAATTAGTAACAGAAGTGAGCAGAGGGTACCAAAGGACAGCAACAGTGAAGGATGTTCTGCCGTGTGGACATTGGGCACATGGTTTACAGGAGGGATAGGCAGGCGTTAGTGAATCCATAGAGTCTCTGAGATGGAAGTCAGTCAAGGGAGCTTCAAACACAGCTGTGGTTCTCAAACTCTATCCGCATTATCAGGCAGCTTGTAAAACACAGGTGATGCTAACTCTGCTGGTCCAAGGAACACACTTTGAGGACCACTGAACTTCAGCCAGTTTTGGTTTGGTGGATGGGGACAAGTGTCTTCAAACTTTAGCACCTATAGGGTGGAAGGCCAGGTGTTATCTTTCCATCTGTCTCTCTACCTGTCCACTAGAATCTAGTGGATAGACATCAGATTTTCTGTTACACTTAGGTCTTGGCATTGTATTGAAATTTATCATTTTTTTTTTTTCCTGTTTTACCTAGGAACTTTACTTGGAATTTGAGAGAGGATGCAAGGAGGGTTTTTAATGTCTGCACGTTCACCGTTTTTTGCTTTCTTGAAAAAAATAAAACTACTATTTAGCTTTTCAACCTGGCTGGGCATGCTGTTTCCAAATCACGTCCTCTCTTCTCCTCACAGAAGAAAAACACCATTTCTGTCTGTTCAAAAATGTGTGTCTGGCACTAGCTGGCCAGCTGCAGAAGGGAAGGCAGTGATGTGTGTTGCTAGCAAGCTGAAGACAGAAGGAGGCAGGTCATCTGATTACTCTGTGATCTCCCTTTCAGAACTGGCTGACAGAGCTGGAGATTTTTGCTATAATCTTTTCCGCTGCCATCCATGACTACGAGCACACCGGAACCACCAACAACTTCCACATCCAGACCCGGTGAGAACGCTGAAATGCTCAGGGGAGAGACAAGAGGGGGCAGGGAGAGAGTTTATAAGCCAGAAAGGTGTCGTCACCTTTCTTTGACATGGTTGCTCTATTTTGAGTTTCTGAAAAAAAAAAAAAAAAAAAGAAATGAATTTTTAAACAAGAGACCAGCCTGGTCAGCTTCGATCAAGACTTAGAGTATAAGAAGCCGTCTGCTCCCAATTCTCGTATTTTATTCATATCTAATATGGATCTCCCTTTTCTCTATTCTCATGCTAACTCTTTGTTATTTAGGTATGTACGGTGCATCCTCTACCTATTTTCACTAGGAGATGGAACAGTTTACAGAAAATCACATAACCACGTAGACCAAATCATTGAGAATGGGCAAGGATCCATGTTTTTGTTGACATGAACAATAGCTGAGACTGGTGCTCTTCCCAGTCCCCCTGACTTCACTTCGGTTCTGTTCAGTGGCACAGGGCTTGGGGAACTAGGGTGTCTCATGTAGGCCATTCACCACAGACCTATGCACTCTCCCTAACAAACTGCACAGGTAAGCACAAACCTCTGTAGGGATGTTAAACACGGGTCGTAGTGCTCCACTTTGAACCTCTTGACTGTCACAGACATCATTAATCAACCTGGGTATTGTTTTTCTAACTAGATGCAGGTTTATCCTTAGTATTCCTCTCAACACAGAATTCCAGGCAAGCTGTACCCATCAATTGTTTGCATTTAGGATGGAACCTTATGTGCCCCTCTCCCAGACTCAGAACTTACCTTCTCTTAAGACAAAGATGTGGAACTGGAGAGAATCTGACAGTAGGGTTAACTGGGCCTTGACATAGGAATCAAAAGAAGCTAGAACTTGGGGAGAGGCGACAAGGCAAGGAGAAGGCACGTAGCAGGGAGGGCAAGTTTAACTCCAAATAAGCACTCGCTGATTTCACTTGAATGAGCAGGTGCACAGTTCAGATAGGTTTGTGTTCATAAATCAATCTACATGTATTTAATGAACCCAGCACTTAATTGTGGGGCACACAAAAGATGACAGTTTCCTCTGATCTGTGTTCAGAAGGGGAATTTTAATAGAATGGAAGCGGACAAAAGAACATAAGCCTTTCGCTCCGTTTTCTGCCTCCTCCCTCCTCACGTAAAACAGCCTCAGCGGCTGCAAAACAGCTTTTTGTGGTCCTGTTGCAAGGTCTTTAAACACAGGGAGTTCCACAGAGCGGCCCTGTTTCGTGGAACCTTTGCTCTGAGGACAGAGACTAGCACCTGCTGAAGGAAGAGAGGTGCGTAGAAGAAGTACCTGCATCTTGGCTGGAGATCAATGTCAAAACCAGTTGCAACACAGAGGGAAATCAGTTACAGGAGTTGAAAATAGCTTAATGTCACAAAACATCCATCAGTGGATGCCTTACTTACCTAACAGGTATAAGATCAGATCACTCACCTGAGGATTTGCAGGTTTTATGTTGTATCTCCACAGGAGTGGGAACATCCCAGTGGAACATTAAGCTTCGTTTGGAATGGACATTGGCCTTCCCTAACAGAACTTTATCTAAAGCATCCCAGCCTGTGTGCTCCTTGTTCAGAAAACCAAGTCTGTGACCAGGTCCTTTGTCCTTTGATGATGTGTTAAGTCTCCCGCTTTAGAGATGTGCTAGATAAATTTCAAAGTTTGCCCAAGGACAGGTGGAAGTTATCTTGGGGGGTGGGATTGGGCAATGGCCCAACTGTCAGAGATGCCGCCTTCCTCCCAACCTTGACACATAGCACCCTGGGGCTGTGGGAAGTCATTTTATATCTCTGGGATTCAGCTCCTTGATGAGAAACCAGTACTCTGTAAAAATCTCAGATGTCATTAAATTAAGGATATAGTGTACAGATCTGTGTTGTCATTCAGCTACGGAATGGTCCTTGAGAAAGTGACAATTGCTTTATAATCCTTATATTCTTCCCTCTCAATTGTCCGTGTATGGCTTCTCCATGGCAACATTTTAAGATCAAGCTACTACCGCAGGAATGTGCAGACTGTACATGCCAGGTGGTATGTGCTCAGAGAATTAGAAGTAAAATAAATTCTTTTATTTAATAAAAAGGTTAAAGTTGTTTTAGAAAATAGAAGGAAGTTCGACCTGACCCGCATTTAAGAAAACCAGCTTTGCTACAGCTAGCAAAGGTCACTGAGGTCTGGATGTGGAACAGTTTCCAGAGAGTTCTCAGATTGGATAGCGCATATTTTACATCCACGTATTGACATTAACATACCCTGCCTACATCATTTGATAGTTTATAATGTTAGTTTTAGCTTTTTTTTACATAAAAAATATGTTTTTATTGATTTTGTTGTTGTTGTTTAGAGAGAAAGAGAGAGAGAGATAGAAATATCAATGTGAGAAACATCGCTCGGCTGCCTCCTGCACGCCCCCTACTGGGGATCGAGCCCGCAACCCAGGCGTGTGCCCTGACCAGGAGTCGAATCGGGACCTCTCAGTCCATGGGACAATGCTCAATCCACAGAGCCACACTGGCTGGACAGTTTTAGCTTTTTTTGTTGATATAAATGGCATGGGGGCAAAGGTAATTGCTAAACACAGGTAAAAGAGATGGTGTATTCTAGCTTGAAAAAGTTACCTGCAAAAAAATCTCAACTGTTTGAATCCCGTTATTTTTCTGGCTTCCTGCTCAGGTCCGACCCAGCTCTCCTGTACAATGATAGGTCTGTATTGGAAAATCACCACTTAAGTGCAGCTTACCGCCTTCTGCAAGAGGACGAGGAGATGAATATTCTGATCAACCTCTCCAAGGACGACTGGAGGTAAGGCTGAGGGGAGGCGAGGGAGAGACTCGAGGCCAGGAAAGGAGCTGGGAGGGGAGGTGACGAATGCTTCTTTGAAGAAATCCCTATGTTTAGTATCTGTGTCTTTATAGGGAAGCAGTTTTAATAGCTGACAGATTTGTTCGGATACATAGTGCTTTCGACACTTTAGGACCCTTGTAAGTGAACGTATTACCAGATAATAACTGCATTGCAGAGTGGAACAACGTGGAATTCCGCCCCCAGCAGGCTGGATTCGCTGCTAATAAACCAATCCTCCTGCAAGTAACAGCTATCAACTACGGAAAAAGACAAACAAATAAAAATACCAACAATCCCATTGACTTGAGAGCTCTAGGGAGTGAACAGAGTTAGGCAACCTTTGAAGGGGTGTCAGAATTCGGAGACTGTGACGGACGAAGTGTGACGTTTTTGTGAGAGACCAGGGTAGGGAAAACTGGAGCTGCTAGCAAGTGAATTAAAACCCCAGAAAAGAGAGAACCAAATAAGGGCAACTCAAATTCTGTGGCGATCTAAATGCCACGCAGAGAGCAGGAAAATGTGACTTATTTGCAGGGGGAAAGACAATCAATAGATGCAGTCTCCAAAATGAACTATTGCTGGAATTATCAAGCAAAGACTTTTAAAGCAGTTAGATTAGAAATGTCACAATCAATGAACTGATTGTGATTGGAAGTGGCAAAAAAACCAAACAAACCAAAACCCCAATGTTTACTTTCTATTTTTTACTTTCATCTTTTTTTCTCCATGGGGTGTCCCTGAAAGGGAATTTCGGACCTTGGTAATTGAGATGGTGATGGCCACGGATATGTCCTGTCATTTCCAACAAATCAAAGCCATGAAGACAGCTCTGCAGCAGCCGGAAGCGTGAGTGGGCGTGTGACGTTGTGTTTTCATAGGTGTTGGAGCTGGAACCTGTCCATGTTGTCACACCTTTAACATGTACTTCCTTTAGAGAACTTTGTCAAATAGTCTCATAGAATGGGCATGTTTGGAGGAAAGAGCATGAGAATTGTACATATCATAGATACAGCCTCATCAAGGTTGAAATGAATAAAAGGGCCAGTAATAAACTGCTCCAATTAGAACTGAAAATATTGCCCTGAAGGAAACTGAATGATCAAAGATCTACTCAGTGCACAGGTGACGCATAAAAGTCAGTCAATGACTCTCAGGTTTTTGTCCTTTTGAATGACACGGTCATTCCAGATAGAGTTTAGAGTCAGTTTTTGAGTGTCCAGCTCAATAAACATGGAGACCTGGCTGGTGACCATCCCAGGTGTAGGATGATGTGACACTTTCCCCGCAGTTCAGCTGAAGTGGGGGTTGAGACAGGAGAATGGAAGGGATTAAAAAAATCAAAGCTTTCTTTAAAGAAACTGTTATTGAGGTTCTGAGAGCTTGATCATCATGTGTTTGGTTCTTCTGGGTTTACAGGATTGAAAAGCCAAAAGCGTTATCCCTGATGTTGCACACGGCAGACATTAGCCACCCAGCTAAAGCATGGGAGCTCCATCATCGCTGGACAATGTCGTTGCTGGAGGAATTCTTCAGACAGGTACTTTGCATTGGGCTTTCATGCCTGGGTGGTTTCTGAATCTTGAATTTCAGCAATGCTGTGATAAGAACTATTGAAATCACAATTTTCTTTGGGGAGGGAGGCTTTACAGATATATATCTATACATCTATATATCTATATATCTGTATCTATATCGCCTCCTGGTCATGTGATGTTTGAATCTTACTCAAATTCTGACTGTCAGAACATGGTATTTCTATCCTATGCATTTCTATTTGGAAAAAAAGCATCTCTTTGTGGCAGTCTTTTGTCAAAATATTATCTGAGGATTCCTTTTTTTTTAATGTATTTTCTAATGGATTGACCAAATGACGACCAGTTTGGCATTGCCCCATGAGATCAAGATGTTACTCTTTAACTGTCGTAATTGGTTGGGTTGTTTATTTTCTTCCAGCTGGCAAGCCATGTTGTCAAATTCCAAAACCAGGTGTGGTACTTTGGGGTCGGGAAGTCGCTAGAAGCCACTGTCCCGATTATACTGAAATGATTACACCTAAGACACAGGGCTGTGATTTCTGCGAGCACAGCCAGTCTTTTGTGGGTGGCACTGCTTTAAAGTGGTTTGAAAAGGCCCACAGCAGTGCAGAGACAGGAAGCGAAGTAAATGTGTGGCACTGTGACTGATGTCCTCTCAAGAAGAGTTGCCATGAAAACATCTGCTTTGTGATGTGAGGTCCCGAGGTTAAAAGTGTTGATGTAAGAAACATTCAAACCTGTAGAGAATTTCTATGAGTTCCTTTGAGCTGAACTGATAACAGTTGCCAGGAGCAAAATCTCAAATGCTCTGGAGAAGGACAGTTTTGCAGTTGCTTTTATACATTTGGAATTCAGGAGGGAAAGTAAGACAGATTACGTGAGGATGGGAGAAAGCAAGGTGGGGATTTAATTACAGGATAGTCAACAAGATTATGTGCTTTCTTGAGGGTGGTTATGCTTCTGTGGGTCCAAAAAAAGAGGCATTTTAAAGGTGTTAACCTAGATGCACAGAAACAATGGACAGGGCTTGCTTAAGGCAAAGATAAGCTTTTTTTTTATCCTCACCTGAGGACATTTTTTTCATTTTTTGTTCAGATAGAGTGGGAGGGGGAGAGAGAGAGACACACATCGACGTGAAAGGGACACATCGAGTGGCTGCCACCTGCACAACCCAACCAGGGCTGGGGACAAACTGCAACCGAGGTACGTGCCCTTAGTGGGAACCAAACCGGGTCTCTCTGGACCGCAGGCCGACGCTCTAACTGCTGAGCCAAACCTGCCAGGGCCAAAGATACAACAAAGAAGTTGTACACCTGGGATGGGACTGCTCACCGTAACCTGCCCAGTTAGAAACTTATGCTCAGATCACCTGTGAGGTCACTTTCAGTTAGATTTATTATAGCATCTTATTTTTTTTTTGTCCACAAAGGCAGTATGTCATGTAAATTGTGGGTCCTAAGCTATAGTTAATTCAAGTTAATACTGTTAATTCGGTTAATTTCTTGTTAATTCAAGAAGGGAGATTCACATCATGGATTCAGAGACCTCTGAGATGCCGTAAAACACTACTTATTAACACTGGTCTCAACTTGGTCTCCTACACTGACAAGAGCTACGTTCTTTCACTGGTTGCTCAGACTTTTGGAAGAGAATTACTCTCCTTCTTAGGGTTCTAGTTTGAGTGGAGAAATTGGAGAAGGCATCTAAGTGTCTTTCTTCTGAGGTTGTACACAACATCTGGTAATAAGGTGGGATTAGAGTTAACAGCATATGAAAGTCCTTTGTTGGTTTTTTTTTATTCCAACTCGTTTGTGGCCTGGGGCTAACCAAATCATTCCTCTGGTTCCCAGTGGTCCTATTTGTGATTTGGGTTTTTGGGGGGGAGTGAGGTGGGGTCGAACTTGAAGGTTGGACTAGATGTTTTTTTAGTGTCCTTACGGCGTTACATGTTCCACCTTTTCTTCATTTTGTCTTTGGTGCATATCATCACATACACACGCACCCCTGAAGTGTACCTGAATACAGCAGCAGCTACCCTATTCAGCATGTGGCTGTTTCTCCCCACAACCACTGCTTGCTTCACAGAGCAGTCCTCCAGGGGAACCCAGTGATGCGGGAGGAACTAGGGAAGTACAGGCGGGGCTCTGTTGTGGATACAGGAACGACTGCAAATTCATCTTTGATTGAGGGCTAATTTCGAGCCGTTTTCCCAGAAGCTATTTTTCCAATGTTAGTGAGAATATTTTCTGCAAACATCCACTTCCCTTATGGAATGCTTTCTTTGATACTGCTTTTGGAATAACACCCCTACAGCCAAGAGTGTTTAATCTGCAGCCAAAGTCGGATCATAGCTCACTATATGAGTTTGAGGTATTGATGTGACTTCTTTCTTTAATTGTGAGAGAGAGATATGACGAATTACTTAACTACATGAACATTTTTTTTTTTCCCATAAAGGAAACCTTGTTTGCATACACATATGCTTGAATTGAACGAAAGTGTGCTAGAGGTCACGTGAAAAGAACCACATTGAATTTCTTGCCTATTGGGAATAGAATGTTAGCTCACTGGACTGGAACTATTTTTTAGTCATTATGATTCAGTAAATTATTTTGATTGACTTAATGTTTTAACCCAGATGTCATAAGCCATTGTGAGTAACCCATGTAAGAGAAATGTTGCCTTGTTCTTAACTATAGATTTTAAATTGGACAGTTCAAATGGGAACTCTTGATGAGATCTTAGAATCCTTGAAAAACTTACATTTGGAAGTTGGGTTGTATTTCAAAATAAGGGCATAGCCTCAGTGTCGATACCAGACCTTCCAGACTTTGCTGAAAGAGTAAGTTACATCTTTAGTTTTATAACCATATTTTACAAAATCCAAGACTCTGCCTTAGGGTGCTTTTCAATGAAATATTGACTTTAAAGAAGTATACGTTTACCTTTTTGGTAAACACATGTTGTAAAAGTCTTCAGGTTCATTTCTGCTGTATTGCTGTGTTTTTATATTTTATAGATGTCTCCTATAATTCTTTGAATTTCCACTCTGTCTGTGGTTATTTTCTCATTTCATGTATTAGTATTTTTTCCCTTTCTTCTCTATGAAGTTAGCTAATTGTTTGTTTTATTGTTTTTTTCATTTTATAATGCCTTGACTGGTATTTTCATTTTTATTAATTCATTTCTTCTGCTTGAGTTTATTTTGTTCTTTTGCTAAATTTCTGAGTCGGGCACTTGATTTATTTCTTTGTATGCTGCCTGTTTAATATTGGAAAATATAAGGCTAAGCATTGTCTTTTTTTAATCATGAATGCCAGAGGTTCTTATCTTCAGTGTGGTCACAATCATTCTTTCCTAAATACTCTGTAATTTTGGTTTAGATATATTTTTTTTACCCAAGAGTTGCTTCAGATAGAGGTGTTTGTTTATATACTTTCCCAGTGGTAGCTTCTTTTGCTTTCTAGCTTTATAATTAGTTTATAGCTTATTGAAATTTGATCAAATAATTTTTTCATTGTTTGGATTTGATCGTGAGATTTGTTTGTTACTTACTATGTAATCAATTTTTGTGAATGTTCACGACTCTTGAAAAGTAGATTTATTTCTTGTGAGGTATAGGATTCAAAAAACAAGAGGAGCACTTACTATATTAACTATGTCATTTAGGTATTTTATCTATTATTTAAAAACGGATCTATCATGGGCTGAAAATATTGACCTTTTTAATAAAGAGGGACATGTTAGAATAGTTCCACGAGGCCAGTAGTTATAGAGTAATAAAATAGTGTATCAATCACATTGGATTGACCTGTTCGAGTACATTTTTTCATATTACTTTCCACACATTTTCTTTTAGTTCATGAATCGATCTGTCTTCCAATGGGAATTCAATGACCACTACTTTAAAACAGGCTTTTAATAGTCGAGTGTCCTCAGCTCAATTCAACTCCAAGGATGCACACGTTATGTGGATGTGGGTGTGGGCGCATGGATGGGATACGCTGTTTAACATGCACTTTTTCAGGGATCAAGTCCAAATTAACGCCAGAGGAAAAGGGGCTGGAGGGAGAAGAGGGTAAAGGGGGATAAATGGTGATAGAAGGAGACTTGACTTGGGGTGGTGAACACAAAATACAATATACAGATGATATATTATAGAACTGTACACCTGAAACCTATATAATTTTAACCAGTGTTGCCCCAATAAATTTAATAATCTTTTTTTTTTTAAAGAAGAACACAACTTCTCACACTAAAACAAAATAAAAAACAACAGTGTTTACACTTTAATCATCAAGTGGTTATTGCTCACCACCCCTTCTTCCAAACCACCCCCATTAAAATGCACCAACCAAACACCTTCCGTCCCTGCTTTGTAGGGAGTAAGAGTGGGTTTTGCTTGCTTCGGCTGAGCTATGCCACGACACTGTCTGCACAACTACGACGTGTATTATAGACATTCCTCTTTCTCCTCATACTGCTCAAGCAGAAGTAGCTCGGGAGTAAATGATGCTTATGCCGCTCGAGGCTTCAGCAGGGCCTGTCGGAAGCAGGAGCGTCGTGGTCCAGGGGTGTCGACACAGGGAGGGGTGCAGAAGGAGCTGGGCCACTTCAGGACGGTTCCTGAGACCCGTGGGTGTCTCCATCGCCCATTGTGACCCCCCCGCCCCCCGCTGAGCTTCCTCAGACACCCAATCCTTTTCCTTCCTTTCGAGAGACGTGTGTGAACTGGTATTCTTTCTCTTTGGCAACCTGCCTTTGGGAGGAAAAGCACTGCTTTTGAACTAGGCCTGGGTTTTAGACCAGGTTGTTATTACTTTTTATTTACTATTAATTTATTGGTGATATTTATTATACTCAGAGTGTATTCGATGCAACAAATTCACTAAATGTTTCTCAAATCTTGATTTAAATATTAGAGGTACCCACTGGGAAACAATCCTAGTTCCTCTTATTGATTTGCAGACATTTTCTCATTCAATCCTCACCATAACCTGATGAGGTAGGGATTATTATCCCACATTTTACAGATTTAAAGCTGAAATGTGGAGAGAGAGTCCACTTCCTCTGATCACACAGCCACAGGGAGGCAGGCCAGATCCAAGCCCAATCAGCAGCCATGAACCTGGGCGGGTTCTTTCATAGTAAAACGAGTCAACACAACGTCACTGCTGTTCGAGGGTGACCTACATTCCCTTTCCTGGGGTGTGTGACTGCGGGGTTGAGCTTCCGGTTCAGGTTGTTAAAAACCATCTCCGTTGTTATTTCGACTTTCCATAGCACTTGCTTATTATAGTGACGCTTTCGGCGAGATTGCGAGTCACGCTTTGTTGCTGTCCAACTGGAGGAACACAAGCAATTACGTCCTGCTCCGCTTTTCTGGTCCACTTTTCCTATGGTCTGAACCCTGCGGCTGAGAACCGAGAAGCAGTCTCCCTGGCCGGTGTGGCTCAGTGGTTAGAGCGCTGGCCTGCGGACCAGTGAGTCTCAGGTTCGATTCCGGTCAAGGGCACGGACCTGGGTTGCGGTTCCTCCCCGGCCCTGGTCAGGGTCGTGCCAGAGGTAGCCTGTCCATGTGTCTCTCTCACATCCATGTCTCGCTCTCTCTCCCCCCACTCTATCTGAAGATAAATAGAAAATATCCTCCAGTGAGGATTTAACAAAAAAAGAACTGAGAAGCACGTGCACCAGTTGTGTGTGGTTTTAGTTAAGCACCAGGAGGAGAAATTCAAATCAGCCAGTTTGAATGGGCATCTTGAATACTGCCCAGAGCTGGGAGGGAGTCACTGGCTCAGGCAAGGACACAGGTGTCAGCAGGAGGCAACAGGAAAACACAGCAATTCCGGCCACGTTGGCGCCGGGCCACGGACCACTGCCTCGTCTCCTTCCCCAGGGCCGCCGCTGCCCGGTGGGCTTTCCGTCCCGCGGCCGGTGCCTTCGCGGGTGGGCGGAACACAGAGCCCCAGTGGGCCTCGGCCTCTCGGTGTCTCTTATGCAGAGAGGCGGCCCCGTGAGGACTTACTGCAGAATGTAATCGTGATCATTAAAGTGGAGGCCGCTGGCCTTCGTGGCAGATGATTTTATTTGCTGAATAAAATCTGGGTGGCTTGGCCTACTGTTCCTAACTTACTGTGGCCTCCTCTATTTTCCCAGGGGGACAGAGAAGCAGAGCTGGGGCTGCCTTTTTCTCCCCTGTGTGACCGGAAGTCCACCATGGTCGCTCAGTCGCAAGTAGGTACGTGTTGGCCAGGCTGTGGGTGGGAGGAGGACCCGCTTCTCTGGGCCGGAGCCTGGCTCCATTCTCCTGGCGTTGGCTCGGGGGTGACGGAGCCGTGCTCCCCGTCCTTCCCCGTGACGTGGGGCTGGTTCATGGGAAGATTCGACAGTGTCATTGTCTCCATCATTCCTTGCCGAGAGAAAAAAAGAGCCTCAACTTTCCAAGGCGATGACACGTATCAGTGGCCGGAAGCCCATTTCCATGCGGCACTGGGAGTCTGTGCATTTCTTCTAGGGATGCTCCCGCCTGCCCGGTCCAGCACAGTCTTCCTGCAGGACCCCACTGGAGGAGTGGCTCTTTATAAGTGTCCCCTCCCTCCCCCTCCCCTCCCCTCCCCCTCTTCCTCCCTCCTTCCTTCCCTCCCTTCCCTCCTTCCCTTCCTTCCTTCCCTCTTTCCTTCTCTCCTTCCTAAAACGGTTGTAGTACTCGTTCTGTTCATGGAAAGAATACTTTTGCACAGCTAATAACCAGAGTGCATGTGCATTGTAAAACCCTCCGCTGAGAGAGTCCCAGTGCCACACAGATGAAATGTCACAGTGCCCTCCACCTTAGAAGAGTCTGAAATCGTTAAAAAATAAATTCAACAGGGATTTGATTTTTTTCTACTTGTGTTTTCAGTACTTATAATTGTCAAAATAATGAGTATGTTGGCTCTCTGTTAGGTGGAGGGCACCGCTAGACACTATAATAGATGTTAATAAAGAAAGGGACACATTATACATGGTACCTGCTCTCAGAGACGCAGAACCAGTATTGGACGGTGGGCGAGATGTTCTGGAAACAATCTGTTAGAGTCACAGGGTCAAGGTGAGGCTTTGTACATCATGCAGCTGGGTCAACACAGAGCGTGTGAGCCGTCAGACCCAGACAGACTTGGTGAGGGGTAGTATTTGAGCGCAGTCCTAAGAGAGACGCCGGCAGATGGAGCTGTGCAGTAGAGGTTGTTGGGGGCAGCGGGAACAGCTTTCGGACACGGGGTTAGTGTCTGCTAAGCAGGGAGATACGGAACAGCCTAGTAAGACCAGGGATTACGAACAGCTCCAGATACTGGAACAATGGGTGGAGAGCAGAATGAAGCAAGGGACATGTTTGGAGAGGCCATCAGGCCCCGATTACAGACTGCATGAAGAATATATGTGCTTTATACTTCCGCGTAGGAAGTGAGGGTACATCTAAAGCATGTTAAGTAAGGCTTAAAAATATATAAATGATGGACTAAATCTGGCCCACTCACTGCTTGATCCTGTACATAAAGTTTTACTATAATGCAGCTAAGCTCATTCATCTGTATATTGCCGATGGCTGCTTTTGTATGACGGGCCAAGGTAAGGAGTTGTCACGGATATGGTCCATAAAACCCCAGATATTTACTACTTAGTCCTTTAGAGAAAAAGGTTGCCAACCCGTTTTAGAAGGATTTCTCTCTCAGGAGCGAGGAGGATCATTGGAGGGTTTTGTGTAAGAGCAGAGGCAAGGAGACCAGCTGGGCGCCTCCTGCAGGGTCACCGGGAAGAGACGAGGGTGTCAGAGCCAGGGTAGTGCAGGGACTCCCCAGGAGAGAGGTGGGCAGACGGGACATTAAGGATTCGGCTGTATGCAAACCTCAGGTAGAGGCAGCAATTTAGGCTGAGTGGACGGACCATGGCACCATTTACAAGGGCTGGAGGAAAAGCGATGAGTGAGTTCATTCTGGTTTGGACTTGTTGAGTTTCACCTGCAAGAAGAAAAGGTGAAAATGCTGTCATCAAAGACTCCGTTTCAGCTGCAAATGATACGGCAATGAAGAGCCATTCAAATGTGACTGTCAGTGTTTTCTTATCAGGGTGCTCTGGGCATTTGATTGCGACCATTCTTGTCTTGCCGGTTACATTACAGGACCATCAGCTTTCTCACTGACGGTCATTACAGGGCAGCATCTCCTCCACCTCAGTCACTGTGAAAACCAAACACGCATCTGTATGTTTCCAAACACTGTGTTTCCCTTGGCTGGCAGTCCGTGTCCTTCCACGTTTCACCTGGCCACGTGATGGATCGCCACCAGTAGTTCCAGCCCTTTGTTTCCTCCTGACGTGTCACAGGACACGCGATGCTGTTGACCTGCTGAGGCATCACCAGCCCAGCATCAGCTATCTCCCCAGCATGGGGAGCGCTCGAAGGGCAGCTCCAGACTGGACCCCTAGCTTAGCTTCCAAATGTTTCTCCAACTCTGCTTGCCCTCTCCCATCCAGATGTGTCCCCTGTTCCTCAAAGTCAGCCGATCTCAAACTGAGCCACCGCCTTCCTCCCCAGCCTCACATTCCCCATCTGTGTTCTCTCTTTGCTGTGGAGGTCTCCCACAGACCCCACCCAGAGGCAGGGCCCACCCAGAGGCGGGGCTGCTGCGCCTCCGCCTCTGGCCTTCCCCCTTCCAGGGCCCTGGGTCCCACCCCCTTCCCTTTCCCGTGAGCCTTCTAACATGATTCTCCCAGCCTCAGCCCCTCCTTCTCTCTGCCTCCCCTCCATCTTGCCAGATGAATTTGCCCAAAGAACATTTAAAAAAATCTTATTATGGTGCTGCCCAGACATCTCAGAGGGCTTCTGTTGCCCATCTGAGCCCTAACCCCTCAGCTCTGCACTGCTGAGCTGCCTTCCAAGGTGCACCCTAAGGCAGCCCTCCAGGTCCCGTGCTCTTCACTTTGTTTATTCTACCCCCTTCCCTGGGAGGGAATAGCCTCAGGGATCAGCACAAACTTCACCACCGCCTTAGAGCTACCTGCAGTGAGAGAGAAAATATCCTCCCTCCCTTACCGGCCCAGGGACCTTTCTTTGGCTTTTTCTTTGTTTCTTTCCTTATAGCTAGGGGGCTCACTTTTGTGCTCAGTTAGCCCTTCCACTAAACCGAGGGCAGGCAGGCGATGTTATTCACCTTCATCTCTTACACAGCGCTGGCCACGGCATTTGTTGCTTAGTGGATGCTGAATTCGTATTCTTAAGCACTTTACTGGACTATCTACGAAAGAGTCATAGGAAAATTCTGTGGGAGAGAATGGAGCTGGTCATGATGTTGAAGTCAAGGAACATAGTAAATGAATAAGACCAACCCAGTCTCTCCTGATCTGATCCGGGGCTCCTGCGCAGATGAATTTGAAAAGCCAGGCCTCACCAGTTCCCCGGGGACCCCAGAAGGGCCCCAGCGAACACGGGTGTCTCTGAGCGTGCTGTTTCCCGCAGGCTTTATCGACTTCATTGTGGAGCCCACCTTCACTGTGCTCACGGACATGACCGAAAAGATCGTGAGTCCACTCATTGACGAGCCCTCCCAGACTGGCGGGACAGGACAGAGGCGTTCAAGGTCAGTGGACAAGCTCGAAGGCTGGGGTCAGGTTGGCCTGTCCCTGAGGACAGAATTCTTCTTTGGGAAGGGATGGGGTGGATTTCATAATGGTGTGAGCCCCGCCTCCTTCTTATAAGAGAGACGCCAGCCTCTTCCTTTTCTCAGAGGAGTTGAAGTTGCACTATTTGTACTCTCTGGGCTGGCCAGGAAGGAGGTGACCCTGGTCTAAACGATGACTGGCAGGTACCAGTGCATCTCTCCCGCCTCCCCGTTCTCTCTTTGGGTACCTCCCCCCACGGCAGGTTTAAACATCCTGATCCTGTTACTCGTTAGCTGTGCAATCGCAGGCAAGTTGACTCAGTTTCCTCATCTGAGAAAATGTGGATTATAGTGCTCACAGGTTGCAAGGAGGATCAAATGGGTTATTCAGTCACAGAGACCCTATAACAAGGCCCAGCACAGAGGAGGCGCTAGCTACAACTGTGTCAACACTTAGTCTTTGTTAGTGTTATTCCTACCCTTCTCCTTGTCCATACGGGACCATGGGCTTTGTCATACAGCAGAAAGGAAAGAAATGGGATGAACAGAAGAAAACAGAAAGAGGAGGAGTAAACAGGGAGATGGGAAGGCAAGAGGAATGTCAGGACAGTGGGACCCCAGGGATGCTCAAGGTGCGTGGACTCAGCCAAGCCTCAAACCAGGAGGACCGAAGCCCCTGCCCGAGCCCCAGAGCCCGCAGCTCTGCAAACACCGGGCTGGAATGTGCTCTCCTTGTCTAGTCAGCCCCGGGTGTCAGCCACTGGGTTTGCTTTCACTGCTTTAGGGCCTGAGAGTGGGTGACTTTCCTTTAAAGCTACCCATAGGGAATGCACTTTCTAAATTTGCCAAGTTGCCCATGTTTAAAGCATAAAGTATGGATTTAAAAATGGTGTCTTGCATGCCTGGTCTCCAAGCTGTCTGTCTCTCCACCTTCTCCCGGGAGCATAAGGAAATCACTGGATCCTGGGATCAGAGGCACCCAGCGCGGGGCAGGCAGGGCTGGAGAGAAACAGGACTAAGTGGCTGAGCAACTTGGAATTGTAGTGCAGAAGCAGGTGGATGAATTGTGGAACCAAGCTGAAGTTCACGTTTAAATTAGCTCATTGCAGAAAACTGAGGACAGAAACATTATGTAGGGGATTCAAGTCATCCTGAAAAAGAGGATACCAGTCAACAACAACAACAAAAAAGGGGGAATATTGCTACTCTGGAGGCTAAAATATTGATTTTCTTTTTCTACTGAAAATACAGAATTTGCCATCACATATGGAAAATAAGAGTTATAAACCCCTGATGACTTGCTCACGGGCATACATTTTCCAAACACTAACCTTCCTCTTCCAGTCCATCTTGCCTAATTAACCTTTTTGTGTGTGATCTTTTTTTTTTTTTTTGGTCCTCAGTTTGAACAACCTCAGTTCGACGGATGCAAAGCGATCGGGTACCAAGAGCGCCGGCTCAGAAGGAAGTGCCCCGGTCAATGATTCCGTCATCCCTGTCGACTATAAGAGCTTTAAAGCCACGTGGACTGAGGTCGTGCATGTCAACCGGGAGCGATGGAGGGCGAAGGTGCCCAAAGGTAACCTGCTATTGGGGACTCTTCCAGAGACCTGTCCAAACCACTTGGCACCCACTCAGACACAAGGCATTGCCGCCCCTGATTTACAGGTTGGCAAATAAGGTGCAGTCTCAGGGCAGAGATTCAGATTGCTGAATTTCAGCATCTACCCTCTTTCTAGAATTTTATTTTTCTATGACCATTGACATTAAATATTATTTTATATTAGTTTCAGGTATACAACATAGTAATTAGACAATATCCTCCTGATAAGTCTTGTACTCACCTGGCACTGTACGTAGTTATTAAAAAATTACTGGCTATATTCCCTCTGCCGAACTTGACATGCCCGTGACTATTTTGTAACTACCAATCTGGGGAAAAGCATCCACCCTCTTTTGATTCTCATTTTATCAAAAACTCGATGCGTGATGGGATGACACAGACCTCCAAGCATGACAGCATGACCTTGGCGCCAAATGACAGAATTCCTTTTCTTGGTCTAAGATTACAGAGGATGGGTGTTGTTGGTTCTTGGTTTCTGCCAGACCATCGTGTCATTTCTTATTTCATATCATGCGGCACAATTATGATGCCTTTATTCTTTCTTTTATCTAAGCAAAGCCTGTCCAGTAGCTGCTTCAGCCACTGTGTCGGGACAGAAGGAGTGGCAATTTTCTGACATGCATTTTTATCTTCCTTTCATGTTCACACTCTCCCTTTGGTAATTACTCAGACTGATCTGAGACGAAAGCAGCTTGCATGTAAACAGAAATTGGCTGAAGTAAACATCATCAAAATTCAGATCAGGAAAGTCATGACTCTTGGTACCATGCACACAAATATTGTCATCTGTGTTTCTTGAAAGCGGAAATTCATCTGTTCGTACATGCATTAGTGTTTGTGAAGCATGTACTACATGATCAGCACACACTATATGCTCATACCATAGTCTAGGTGAGGACGCATACCAAGGTAAGGGGTATGAAGCGGTGATGCCCAGTTCCAGGGACACCATGGCTCTTGGTGCTCAGTGAAGGGGCTGATCCCCCTGGATTAGTGGATGCAAGCCTTCAACAGCAGTCGTCTTTTGCTGACATCTGTCGAGTGCCTACTATGTGCCAGGTTCTATGCCAAGGGTGCAGAGATGAGTATTAGACATCCTTGTCTTCAGAGCTCACAATCTCCTGGGGGGAGGGGACATCACTACAGACTTTTTTTCCAAAGGCAGGGCTTTAGTGAAGGCCTTGCTCTCGTCACCTGCACCCGCCAGTCCTGCGCGACCCTCACTGCAGGCAAGGAGGGTTTCATCCCCAAACACAGCGTCCCATACTTTCCTCCACCCAGTGACCGCACAATGCAGGGCAGGGGGGAGGGGCTGGGCAGAGCATGTGGCTCTATCCCTGGTACATCAGGTGCTGCTTCCACTGTGGGAGGGGAGAGACCTGACTTGGAGTCGGAGTGATTCAAAGGCCAACCACTGTGACTTACCCACAGAATCCTATCTGGGTGGCTGCTCGCTTCAGCCGGGGCCATGGGTTTATATTTATGGCACTTCTAAGGCATCACTGGGCCCTTAGCATTTCGGGACAGATGTTGCACCCTGAGCTCTGGAGGGAGGCAATGCCTCCTTCATATTTTAAAAGTAGCCTCTCACCGTCCATTCAGTTGCCTGCAACATTTAAATCCTCCTTGTTGGCAGGCACTGCAGCCGGGGTGGCAGCCACGGCACTGGGCTCCGGGCACCGGGCACCGACACTGTCTCCAAGGAGGCATGCTCTTAAAATCAATTACACTCATTACACTTGAAAACCCAATTCCTGACAACACGCAGTTTAAAGAGCTACTTCCAAGTCATTTGTTTGCAATTATCTGGCTTACTAAAATTACCTTCTGAAAGGGATCACCTGGGGGAGCATTAGACAGTTTTGTTTTGTTTTTAAACCAGGGAAAACTGGCCCTTGAAAAAGGACAGGTATGTAAACAGCTAATAATTTTTCAGTCTACTAGGTGTACTGGTAGAGATATGCTTAGGCTAGTTTGGAAGCATGAGAGGGCTTGGCCCTAATGCTGCTTTGGGAATTGGGGAGGTACCTTGTAGCCTGTACTGCAGGATTGCCCAGGCTGGAGCGCAGAAGAAAGTGTTGTATTTAGAAACAGAGAGAAAGGGGATAGCCAGAGCCGGGTTATGTATGTTCTGTGGGAGGATTGTTTGGTTATAAAAGCAAACTCCAGTTAGTGGTTTGGGGGAGAATGGAACCCCCACTCGCCTCCTGCTCTTCGGCAAATGCAGGCAGATTCTTGAGAAAATCCCATTTGGGGGGTGATAATACGCATCCCAGAGCTGATGTGAAGAACAGAGAGAATATCTGTAAAGTGCAGAGGACAGAGCCTGCACATGGCCAGTGCAGGAAGTGCTGGCCGTTACTTTTCAAAATTGGAAAGGGAAGTTGAGTGCAAAGTTAGGAAGGTGGTAAAATACCCACCTATAACTACTATTTTATAACATTTTCAGCCTCCCAGGAATGCTGTTGACTGGTTGGTGTTAAGAAACACCAGTTTGCCCTGGCTGGTTTGGCTCAGCAGTTAGAGCATGGGCCTGAGGACTGAAGGGTCGTGGGTTCAATTCCTGGTCAAAGGCACCTACCTAGGTTGCAGGTTCGATCTCCGGCCCCAGTCTTAGTCATGCAGGAGACAACCAATCGTTGTGTCTCTCTCACATCAATGTTTCTCTCTCTCCCTCCCTCACTCCCTCCCTCTCTTCCACTCTATCTAAAAAAATCAATGTAGAAATATCCTCGGGGGATGGGGTGTGTGGGATTAACAACAACAAAAAGAAACACCAGTTTGCATCTGTTTTTCTGTTAGTGATCAGTTTGAATGAGGTGATCCCAGGCTGTTTCCCTTATGTTCTTCTTTAGAAAACCCTGACTTCATGAAAGCTTCCCTGCATGAACATATATTGTTATTAAACTGATCAGAAATGGGAGTGGATCTAAAGTCTTGATTTTATTAACCAATCTGATTTACAAAGCTAGGGAGGCCAGACAGAACCAATAGCTCTTAGGAAAGATTAAATCAATATTTTTTATAGCTCTGAGGGCTGAAAAATCATTATTTCCAAACAAAGATATATAGGTATAACAATTTGCAGGTTTGACCAATGTTGATAAATTTCCATTCATTATTTAATACTTTTTAAACCTTTTTTTAGGTTATAATACCAAAAATGAATTTAAAAAATACATAAAGAAAATAAAAATCACTTACAATCTCTCTAGCCAGATATAACTATTGTTGAAATTCTACTGTAATTCTTTTTCATTTGATTTACCATGTATTTATATGAATAAAAATTGCCTCATAAGTTGGGATCATAGTATGATACCATCTTGTATTTTACTGATTTATTTCTGTTTTGAGCATTGTATCCTGATACAGAGTAGTCTCAGAAAGTATGATTTAAGTGGCTACATTGTATCTAATACCACAGCTGAATCATTCCTCTACTGAGCATTTTGTTCTCAGTTATACATTATTATTGTGTATAACATCGTTATGAACATATAGGTTCAAAAGTCTTTGAGCCTACCTCTGATTGTTTGTCTAGGATACATTTCTGCATTGGGAATTCTTTTGTCAAAATAAATGAAAAAAAAAAAAAAAAGAAAAGAAAAGTAAAGCTCATGATATCTATTAGCAAAATTTTCTCAGGAAGTTTTTTTTAAACTTATGTTTCCTCCTGGTATAAGTATAGTGAAAGTGCCTGTTTCCCTACATTTCCACCCCCTGCCTTTGCATTTCCTATTAGTATGTTTATATTTTTATTATTGATTCATAATAACTCTTCATATATTAAGGATGATAATTCTTCAGTTGACAAAATATCTTGCAGTTTCTGCCTTACCAGTTTGTCATATGCCTTTTAAGTTTGTTTATGGTCTTTTAAAAATACTTCCTATTTTTATTTCACTAGAGATGACTGTTACATTTTTAAACATTTTTTACTGAATTGTTTCTACAAATGTAAAAAGCAAGTAGTATATAGTGATAGTCCTTTGAAAATGTTGAAAAATTCATTGAACTTTTTCTTACTTTCTCCATATTTACCAATTTTCACTGAGATAATATGAGATTTCAATCTAAATGATTACACATTATTTTATAATTACCTTATAATTTAATATTATTTTAAATATTTGCAACAAGTTTTATTTCTAGCTTGACAACAATTACTTTTAAACACTAAGATTTACAGTTTCACCGAACAGTGTTAACATATTTTCCTTATTCTTAAGTGTTTAATATTGGATGGATTTTTCTGTCAGCTGAGCACTTCTTTGGCCAATCCATTTGGAAAGGACCCGTGGGAACACCTGAGTCCTTAGATGTCTAGAAGTACCTTTCTGTTGTTATTGTAAATAACTGAGTGTTGACTGTTCAAAATCCATATAGTACTTTGTCTATTTTTTTTTTACAGTTATTAGTTTCTCTCTTTTTCTTCCTCTCTCTCTCTCTCTCTCTCTCCGTTTGTAAGTAGTTTAAGAAGACATTTCAGAAAATTATATCAAGGGATAACTATCCCAATACTATTTTAACCAAATGCCTATAGTATCATTATTCAGAAAAACAAAATGAATGAAGAAATCAATGTACTTCCCCAAAACTGCATAGACATTCAGTGTGGGATAGAAGCAGCTCTCAGGAGGGTTGTGACTTACAGATCCTGAGGGCTCTGCTCCACTTCAACTCTTTACTGTGTACTTTTGGTGAGATGGGCTTAAACTACACTTTTGCTTTCTGCTAGACTAGAAGCCAAGGATGCCGAGGATCTTAAATCCAAGAGCCGAAAAGTTAGTTCTCTGCATACATGCCATTGCTGAAATCTGTCAGCCCATACAGATGAACTGTGCTCACACCTACATTTTCTCCCTGTAGAAAAAGTTTACGTGTATTAATAATTTCACCCTGAGAATATAAGGGAATATGATTACAGTGGAACAGGTCTCTCTTCTCTTGAT